CCCCCCCGGTTCCGCCGTCACTGATTATTTTTTAACTCTTTTCAACAACTTTTTGGATTGTTTTCAGGTATTCGAGGCAAACACAGATAATCAAAACATTACAGTGGTGAATCTAAGTCCAAAACTTGTAGCTCTCATCCTGGATATCTATCCAAAGACATGGAATAACATTCCTTGTATGAGGATTGAAGTGTATGGGGATCAAGGTAATCTTTTTGAAGAGAGTCGCTAAAGCTAATTAGTACTAAATAATAGCTTTCAAATAGTAAGGTTTATTTAATCTTAAATATCTCTACCCGTTTTAGAAGAAATGATTATTCTTTAATTATAATCTATATCGCCTGTAGAAGTTAATTTGATTGGCTGTTAATCCACCAATCAGGTTTCTTGATGCAAAATTTTGTCTCTTATCTCGTTAGATTGCTTTGATCCAATTGGAATGGAAAATCACTTGGTACCCAATGAAGCCATTACAGCAACAGGCTGGATATCAGTAGACCACAACCCGTCACAAGCTAGACTCAAAAACATCCATGGGCAAGGAGCCTGGTGCTCTCATGTCAACGATGCACATCAGTTCCTTGAAATAAAGCTTAGTCGCCTACATCATATCACACGTGTTGCCACACAGGGAAGGTATCCAGTTCCCGGTTGTGAAGTTGGTGACGCCTGGGTGACGCAGTATTCAATAGAATACAGTAAAGATGGATTTTCTTGGCAATTTTATCAAGAGAACGGAGTAAATAAGGTATTTATGAACTCTGATTATATTTTATGAACATTAATAAATTTGGACGTATTGTGCTTTTCATTCAAAACCCGCTGCCACTTGATTATTTATACGGATGTAGAAAATTATAGGTTCCTATCAGAGGTTGAGATGACGTGGCATGGCAATATAACACACTCAGACTCACTTGTTGGGTGGCCACGGTTATAGGTGCGTCGCACTGTAATACTAAAGTACACACACCAAAAGCGTGCAATCTGGAATCAACTCTTGTCCTTGAGGAACATCTTCGTTTTATGAAGAATGTGATTTTAGCCATCCCGAGGTTAAGGAAAAGACATAGTTGAGGTGCATTGTGGTACTTTTTAGAAGTCGAAATAAACGCCATCTTGGAAATATCCTCTTATAGTCCCATAATGCATTGTAATGCCAACTCGACCCAGGCTTTTTTTTCGGCCTTGGAGTGCCTTATAGTGAAATTGAAAACGATCAAAGAAAAAATATTAAAACAATATATCAAGTGCAACATGTTTTTAATCTATCCATAAAGAGTATAATTCAATAAATGTGGTTTCTCCTATGGAACTTACTTCCTCCGGTCACATATTAATGGCTCTTTAACTGTTGATATTGCTTTCTCAGGTTTTTACTGCGAACCAGGAAATGATAAACGTCGTCTCTAATGATTTTTTGAATCCAATACTTGCTATAAAAGTACGCATTCGTCCTGTACAATGGAACCGAAAAATCTGCTTGCGGGTCGAACTGTATGGATGTAAAGGTTAGGTTGTACAGTAATATTGAATATTACGGATATACTAAATCATCAGCTTGTATCATCATCATGTATCTTCATCATCATGTACCTTCATGATCATGTATATTCATCATCATGTATTATCATCATCATCATCATCATGCATGTATGATCATCATGGTCATGTTCATCTTCAT